TTGAACGACTGGAGCTAGCTGAACGACTGGAGCTAGCTGAATGACTGGAGCTAGCTGAACGACTGGAGCTAGCTGAACGACTGGAGCTAGCTGAATTAGCAGCAGCACAGGTCTCTGCACCTGAAGCCTTTGTTTCGTTGGACAACTTGCATCATGTAAACTAAAACACTGAACCAACAGTTTCTCCTCGTGTCTCCACCTTTACGGAACCTAAACCTGTTTAGTTTCACCTCCGTGTCCGTTGTTCAGCCTCTTCTCTCGCACGACGGTGCTCCAGCTGTTTTCAGTGATGGGGGGGCGGAGGCTCCACAGAGCGACCTGTCTGTATAAAAACAACCGTTAGCCGGAGCCGAGGCCGGGTTCAGGTAACACCTGCAGCCGCCACACTTACCGTGTCCCCAGCTCGTCTATATAAACCGTCACCGGGCCGCTGGTGGAAGGAACGTCTTTGATGGTGGCGTTGTAGCTCCGCCCACCGCTCTCCAGACGAACCTAAAGTCAACGAGGAACAAAATTACAATGAATTTATTCAACTTTTATTTAGCAGAAAGGACTGTGAGGACTGACCTGACAGCGATCCCCGACAGAAAACTGCATCCCTGCAGCGATGGAATAATCCATCTTATGCTGGGCTGCAAGAGAAGAGCTTCATCTTAGTCTTCATCAGAGCTGTCGTCTAAACAAAGATCTTCAACAGAGGAAGACCTCTCACACTAACACAAACTCTGACATTAAGCTGTTAAAGCTAAAAGCATCAAAACCATGGCCAGGAGCAGCATGATGCTAGCTAAAGTAGCAAAACTCAAGCTAAAAAAGGGCTAGCAAAAGAAGCACAACACCAGCTAAATGTTAGCTAAAACCTAAAAGTAATAAAACTCAATTAAAAGCTATTTTAAAAGTAGCTTTAGTTAACAGCTAAAAGTAGAAATCCTTTAGCTGCTAGGCTAAAAGCAGAAAAATGTTTGGCTAAAATCTAAAGCAGCTAAAGGCTAGCTGAAAGATAAAAACTGCAGAATGCTATCTAAAATAAGCAAAACGGTAGCTAAAAATAGCCAAATGGTTAGCTAATTTTAAAGTTTTAACGGGTTAACTAAAAGTTAAACTAAAAGCAGCTTCGACAAACAGCTAAAATAGCAAAACATTAGGTAAAAGCTGACCGTAACATGCTAGGCTAAAAGCAGAACAAAGGTTGGCTAAAATCAAAAGCAGCTAAAGTATAGCTAAAAGATAAAAACTACAGAATGATATCTAAAAGCTAAAAGTAGCAGAACACTAGCTAAAAGCTCAAACTAAATCACTAAGCTAAAAGCAGAAAACGAAAGATTCGTTTAAAGTAGTAAAACAAAAGAAAATGATAGACTGGGTAAAAGTACTAAAAAACTTTTTTTAAAAAAGCTGCTGTGAAAGTAGCTAAAAACGTAGCTAAAAGCTAAAACCAGTAGCTACAAAAAAACTGAAACACCTTGTTTTTACAACTTTTGTGTCATTTTTATTTTTTTATAAATCTTGTGTTTGTTTCATGTCTTTGTCAGGTTTTAGAAGAAATGCTGTATGAAGAGCGACTGTGTCAGGACCGGTCTAGGACCAAAGACTGGTCCTGATGTGGTGGAACTCCAGAAGGGCTCAGGTTTAGGACCATAGAGGGATCTGAGGAGGGGTCAGGGTCCAGAAAAGACTGGACATGAATGAGAGGTCCCAATAAGGCCACAAACACAAGGTTGAAGGTGTGTGTGTGTGTCTGTTTGTGTCAGTGTGTGTCTGTGTGTCACCTTTCTTGCTCTTCTGCCAGATGTCGTACTGAACATTTCGGAGCAGAGTTGGGTTCAGAGAGCGTCTCACTCTCTCAGGAAGCTGTCGACAACGACCTCGACCCTGAAACCAACAAGATACCTTTTCAATACAGAGGAGACACTCATCTCAGAGGACACGTGTCTCCAGAGGACATGTGTCTCCAGAGGACGCTCGTCTCAGAGGACGCTCGTCTCAGAGGACGCGTGTCTCTGAGGACGCTCGTCTCAGAGGACACGTGTCTCCAGAGGACATGTGTCTCCAGAGGACGCTCGTCTCAGAGGACGCT